GCGTCAGCAAACGCGGTCTGCCAATACCTGGCAGACTGTCATCTTTGTTACCTGAACGGCCTTGTTTCATCCTGTTGTAATTTTGCACAATGTAGGGTGACCCCTGCTACTCAACGGGCAGGCAGGGTTTTCTCCCATCCAGACAATGCTGATGGGAGAGGTACGAGCAAGAGATACCGCCCGGATCAAATGTGCCTTTGAGCAGTTGACTGTGTGAATGAGTCCGGGGACTCTTGGTTTATGAGTTTCCTGAAACCCAGTACATCTTTTTTCCTTTTGCTTTTTTTTTTTTGTTCCTGGAAAATATAAAAACACGAGGCCACCCAGAAAATAAGCAAAATATGTTGGATGGAAACTGTGGGATATGAAATTGGGCTGCATGATTAGAAACAAACGTATGCACTGAGAGACTGAATATACAATGGACAGTGGCCAGACCATAAATGAAACTGGAATATTGACCCCAAACTACAACGACTTGCCCAAGAAACCAACCAGCCCTTTATGAGGGGACTTCAAAAAATGTGTGGAAAAATGAATTAAAGTATTACACAAGTTTAATTTGGTGCAATAATTTTGAAATCCATGCATTATTTTCATAATACACATTTTCCAGGAACTTTTGAAGGCCCCCTCAGACCGTAACAACTAAGAAAGCGAAAGTGCTACCTCTAGTGACAATCCCAGAAGCCAGACAACAACTTCTGTAACAGTAGGCCTCGAAGGGTCAGGACTTAACCTGTGAGCTTCCCTCATCCTGGCCCTGCCTTCTAATTTCGGAACAACCAGGAAAGCCAGACACACACCTCTAGTCCACCTGAGAACACTCCACGTGTAGTGAGCTGCCTCCAGCTTCCTGTACCAAAACCCTCAGACATCTAAACCTTCCCTTCTTTTAACTATGAAACTTTCAGTTCCTCTGCCTGCTGGTGTGTCTGCCGAAATGCTAGCAACAGTGGCCGACCCCACTGGGGTAGCAGGCTCAGCATAAACTCATCTGCTCTTCTCACCTGGCTGGTCCCTACCCTGTGGCTGAAACAGGCTTTCTAGGCCAGGTGGTTTCCCAAACATCCCAACGGCCATTCACTTACCATCTGCTGAAAAAGTACTTAATTAAAACCTTTAATATGGGGCTGGTGAATACATGGTGGTTAAGGCAGCTGGGTCTCACAAGGCCAACTGTGTGGTTTGAATCCTGGATAATGTAGATTGAAAGGCATGAAACTGTGGGATATCCAGACAACGCTGATGGAAGAGATCCCATCCAGATCAAATGTGCCTTTAGAACAATCAACTTCGTATGAACGAGTCGCGTGTGCATGTGTGCCCAGAACCCTGAGAGAATGGAGAAGCAATTGCAGCATGGCCGTCTTCTGGGAGTGAGCTTTTTCACGTTCTCTCTGTCTGTTCTCTCTCGAGAGTACATGAGCCCTATAGCAAATTAAACAAACTAACCAAGAATCTTAAATATCGGGGCCAGCGCATGGTATGGTGGTTAAGTCGCTGGACTCCCACATGGATCACTGCGGTTTGAGTCCCAGACCTGGTGGCTTACTTTGTCTTTCTGGTGAGTTTACATGTCCTACAGCAAATTAATAAAATAAATAATAAAATTTAAAAATAATTCTTTAAAAAAATTCTTAAATATCAGCCACATTCCTTGTTAGGTATGTGGCAAATGAAAAAAAGGGAAGATACGTATTCCCTACCCTAGATAACAGTAGCTTGACAAGTAAGGGGCTAACCAGAATACCTGGGCATTAACATGCTGGGGCAGTGTTTTCTACAATATGGTATGCAGCGATTCATTATACAGGATAACTTCCAGGGAGCTATAGATGGATGAGCATTTTTAATAGTTATATACCTGAATGCAGATTAGAAAAACAAGCATCTCAAGCTCAACAAACCCATGATTTCAGGTTATTGCTGTAGAATGAGTCTGTATCAGTCAAAATTTAGTCAAGAGATAAGAATCACCCTATTTTTAAGAGGGGAAATTCAATGTAAATAATTTTTCTTTTTTAATTGCTGGAGGGCATGTATACTTGTGTACATGTGTGAAAGAGAAAGAGAATCCACCAGTTCGAGTGTGATGACACTGTGATCTTTCTCTGTCATGCTTCCATCCCATCAGGCTTTGAGGCAAACATGCACCTGATGTGTCTTTCAAGCTGCAGAGTCCAAGATTCAAACGGTGGTCAACCACATGGGATCCAGCTCCCAATGCACAGTGCTTAACCACTGACAAGGACTGTTAGTTGGGTACTAAAGAACTAAAAAGGCAGAAAGAGAATTCTAAGGTATCACTTAGGAAGCTGGCACTCTAGGAAAAAGGTTGAAATTGTTATTTTTTAGAAGCCTGGAAGGGCCCCAGAGAGCTGTAACCCCTCTCTGAAAGAAGCTGCCGTTTCACTTGGGCCAGTTCTGACTTGAGCAGGAACTCTGTGGTACTGGATGGATGTCTGAGAGGGTACTAGGGGACTACAGCTGGTGATGTCAGTGGAGCTGCCATGGGACTGTATAAGCAAGTGTGGGGAGAACTGTAAACTGATGCTCACAACTGTTATTGGACCCTCATCCTCTGTCAGGATGAAGAGGTGTTTTGCGGGGGAAAGATAAACAGGAAGACCACGTCCCTTCTTTCTCCCTTTAGCCTTGACACCTCTTATTGGCCCTCCACAGGTGGACCCCAGTAAGCTGGCACAGGAGAAAGGGGGTTTGCTTATTCTCAGCCTAGCACCCAAAGCTGAGTACAGAGAGGGGAGTCTGGATCTGAGAAACACCTTAGCATGCGCTACAGTCCACTCCTTGGGCAATTCAGCATCCACAGGAAGTGCCTTCTAAGTGGAGCTAAACTTCCTGCTGGGAGAAACACAGCTCTTTAGCTATCTCTACTTAACTACGTGCTAATGTCCTTCGTACGAAAGGTATTTTCAGTCTCTGCAGACACTGCACCAGATAGCTTCTGGAGAGTCACACTGTTTATCTCGAACTCTTAATCACACCTAAAATTGAGTCATAGACCCAACTGAATATTTTTACCTTAGACTAACTCGCTAAGTTAACCAGTTTAAAAAAAAAAAATCTTAACAATAGGGGGAAAGACAGGTGAGAAAAAATTAGTGTACACAGAGACAAGGAGGGAAGAAAATACACAGAGTTGCTGAAGTTAACTTGTTTCTGGTCAGTAACAGGCTATAGTTAACTTTACTTCTCCTTCTGCATATCCCGTTCCCTTTCCCCATTCAGGACCTCAGCTCCTTAGGGCTTACACCACGTAGGATCCCAAATCTCACTGCCTAGGTCTCTCTCTTTTATGAGGTTGTTGAAGTTTTCCACTAAAATTTTGTTACTGGACACGGAAGAACTAAAAATGCCTGAGACTCCCCTGGGTTCCAGATACCATTCTCTCTCACCCTTCCTGTAGCCACAACACAAAAGTCCTTTGTTGCCAGGATCATTCCAATCAGCTAAGAGTAAATTCCTTTCCCTTTTGGCTGAGTGTCAAAATAACCAGATAGTCTCAATTTTCATCTTAATGGAACCAGTGTTGAGTTCCTGATTGGGAGCACTCCTCCCTTGGGATACCATAATAATGAGAGGCAGGAAGAAAAACACCTGAGTGGGTTAATGAGTTTAACAGTGAGAGTAGCCACTCTACCTCTGCTTGATTCCAGACCACACATAGAACAACAGCCCCATGCAGTGGTTACTAACTCACAGCTTAGATGACATGCAGTCAGATGGAGTGTGGTCTTCTACCTAGTGCCACAACCCAGTCTTCAGCAGATCATGGCACCATCCTGTTGTCTGCTGCTCCTGGTGACAGAGGAGATGGCAGGACCAGTGAATTCCATAGTTATCAGCTCCGTCCCACTCCCTTCACTGTGAAATGGTTTGTTGGTCAGAAGTAGTACTATGCAGATCACGAGGGTGCAGCACACGTTCAATCAGTCCCTGGACTGTGGCACTGGGAGGACATTGGGAAGAATGTCCGGCTGCTGCCCTAGGATGGAGAGAGCGGAAGGGTACACTGCTTTCCTCCTCACAGTGAGAAATAGCCGGTCAACCTCAGATCCATGACTTTTTTGCATAATTTGCTAGAGTTGAGGTCACAGAAAAACCCAAATCCACAGAGATTAAGGGAGAGGAAACATACCCCTCATTTATTTGCTGAGTACAAAATTAAACGACATCAGTAATTCCCAGAAGTCCTAGGAACATTATCTCCAGACAGAAAGACACACTACACGCACTTCATCCCACGTGTTTCTGTGCTTGGTATTTTCCTAGTGTTCAGACGAGGAGCTGATCTCGTCAGTGGCAAATTCTACTGGTCGATATCATAAAAAACTGATGATTGTTCCTGACCCATAAAAGGCATTTCTTATGGTTCAACAAATACATCATCATTTCTAAATGGATGGTTGAATTTTTAAAGTTACTATCTGGATAAAAATTACATTCTGAATTAGACTAAAATGATTCTTTGAAAATATAATAGAAAAAGCATATGAAATAGAAGTTTATGACACAACTTTTTTTTAATTAAGTAAATGCTTTAAATGAAAACCATACTACCATTAACTGACAATGACCAGGTAGCACGCAGATAATAAGGCTGGAGAAGCAGGTTTGTTCTTGGTATATTTACATATAACACGGCGTTTGATTCCGAAGTCTATGTATGAACTGGCTTGGCATGATTAACAATTTAAAGTGAAATATAAACATAAGGGCAACTTAACCATGGACATTAATTTACGTGAGTCTATTCAAGGTCGATGATTGTATTAAAAAAAAGTGAGGTAAAAAAGTCTATAGAAAGCAACCCTAATCCAAATAAAGGTGGGTAATTTTTTTCCCTTTCATGATTGCATTAAAAAAAAGTGAGGTAAAAAAGTAAAAAAGTCTATGTACACCTGACGGCGAGGGCTGAAAACCCACTCTTGATGACTACCATTCAGCAAAGGAGTGTAACATCCATCACGCAGGCATCCTTGAGCCATGCCTTATGGCTTCCATTTTAATCCTGGGGTTTTAAGAACACCTTTTTTGGTTTAATTGGTTTTATGTCTCCATTTTCATCTTCCTCATAATTGACCCGGTCTCTCTTCTTGGCAAACTTTTTTCCAATTGTCCCCACCAAGGTCTCATATCTGTTAAGATGAAAATACAGTACAAGCTTAATCTCAAATAAAAAAGGAGAAAATCAAGCCACATCAAGAATATCAAACCTTATATGCAACAAAAAGAGTAAGGATGATATAAACTATGATTAAAAGAAATGATCTGATTTAAAAAATCAATGAGCTTTTCTAAGAATCAGTAAATCCTTTGCCATTTATGTTTTGCTTTATCCTAAGTAAACTGAGACATCTGTTTTAAAATATGTATTGGAAGTAGCGCTGGAAATGAGCCATCACCTGCTGGTGGGCGACAGGTATGAACCCACCTGAGGCCACAGAAGAGACGGGAAGTTACGGTTGTCCTCCTACAGTCCTCCTCCCTTAAAGCCATGGCAGCCACCAAGGGGAGCACAGCTCAAAGGAGAGCCACTACCTGCTGGGCCCAGCTACAAAGCTGCTCTGAGGAAAAGGTTACCTTCTAGCCATTTCTTCATCTGACACATCAAGCTCCACTGTTTCATCTTCAATGTCTTCTTCTTTGTTCTTGGCATTCATCTGCAGCATTAATTTCTGGAAAAATTATAGCAATGCTGACCATCATGAGGGCTAGAAAAGGCTTGTGAAAGGTACTGGCATCAATTTATTTATTTTTAACTAATTATTGTCATTATTTTTAAAGCTTTTGTTATAGAGCATGTGCACTTGCCAGAGAGAAAGAAGAGAGAAGGAAAGGGAGATGGCCATGCCATAATCTCTTTTCTTCCATTCTCCTCTTGGGATTTTTGGCATGCATACATGCACACACGTATTTTCCAAGCTGCTGGGTCTGGGACTTGAACAGCACCGTTGGCCACATGGCATAGCTACCTTAATCACCACACCATTTGACTGGCTTTATTTGAAGGTAAAGCAGCTAATGTCACATAATCTCGAGAGCAATTCAAAATCAGCTACAAGTGATTCTCTGTCATACTCTGTACCACAGTGTGCTAAATAGAGATCAGCTTAGAATCAAAAACATAGTAAGACAAAGACCCACCACTAGACTCTTCTTAGTGTCATGCATTCAAGCTGTAGATCGGATCATGAAGGTTCTGATTAGTTACTAACACCTACAGCAGTCCACTGTGGACACATTTCAGGGAGGGGAGAGAGAGAAAACATACTTTCAGATTTCCTCTGAACTTCTCATCTTTAAGTCAAATGGTAGTAGTATAGAGGTCTCTAAAAGGTCATGGAAATGCTATTATGAAAAAATTGTACATGGGTTTCAGGTTTTTTTTGCAACAAAATAAACAAATACTTAAACTCCAATTTTCCATGAACTTTTAAAAGTCTTTTATCCTATTATAATCATTAATAATTTTTAATTTGACGAGAGAGAGAGAGAGAGAGAGAGCATAAGCCACTCAGTCTGGGACTCGAACCGTGGTTGGCCATGTGGGAGTATCCAGCACCTTAACTACTATGCCACCTGCTAGCCCAAGTCATTAATAATTTTAAATACATTTTGTGGTGGTGGGCAGGAAACAGTAAATTATTGGGAAAAAGGACTGGGAAGGTGGCCCTGGTATAGTGGAGAGAACCTGCATCTCATCCTCACCCACAAACTCTAGGGTGGATGATGCACCCCACATGAAGTCCTGTGCCATGAGTCTCTTGCTTCCACCTTCTTCAATCAATTTTAACATTTCTGTGCCAGCTATTCTCTGACAGATTTTTTTAAAAAATGTACAACACCTTCTTTGTAACAAAGGGAAGAGGGAAGGCAGATGAAAAATCTGTCTCAACCAGTTTTTCCAACATTTGAAGGACCAATAATGAAATGGGCCAAGACCTTTCTCCAGAACGTTTTTGGTGTTACTGAATCCAGTAATTGGGGCCATTTGCTATGAACTGTCCACATCCTGTTCCAGGGACTGTGCTGCCTTGCCCTTCCACGTAGCACTCGTGCGGTGAGTGCGTGCCTACCCACAGGCCTGTTCCTGGACATCGCACACTCAGAATCTTTGCCCTGTTGTTCCTCTAGTGCTTAAAGCAGGCCAAGGCAAGAAAAGTACACATTAAAAACAACACTTTACAGTGCTGACTTTGTAAAGTAAATGTAACATCTTAATTATTACATCCCCCACCAGAAAACAAATAAATAAAAGGGAAAACCAACCTACAATCTTTAAGTGAAGTCTGACAATTGGCCTAGGTATCTGTGGCTCTCTATAGGCCTCTCAGAGAAGTGGCTCTCAACTGGAGATGGTTTTGCTCATCCCAGGTGACCGCTGGCAGAGTCTGGAGGGCTTTCAGGACGTTGCAGCCAGGGTGGAGGTGGTGTGTGTGGCCGTGCACATGCTACGGGCATTGAGTGAGTAGAGGCCAGAGACGCTGCTAATCATCCTACAACGCTCCAGATAGCCACCAGCACAAAAGCATTCTCAGGTCCCAAAGTCAACAGTGCCAAGGGTGAGAAACCCTGGCTTCAAGAGCTATTTACACAACTACAGATTTCTATTGCCAATGTTCACCTGGCTGGTCGAGTCCCTGATAGGATGCCTTTTAACGATGAGTCAGAGTTCTAATAAATATTTGTTAAATAAAGGTTTATTTCTTTACAAACCTGCGGCAGGAAAAACTCAATGAACAGCTTAGTTACAAGGTGACTACACACTGTTCAAACACACTTTCCAAAGGATTCATTGAAAAAAAAAAACGATTTATAAGCTTGGACTGAAACCTCTCCATTAAAAAGTCAAATCGCACAATTTTCAAGTTACTTTTCTCCATTAGGAAAGATACATTTATAGATGCCAGAAAAGAATGTTTCATAATAGTACCATACGAATAAAATCTTGACACTCTTGTAAAAGACTAGTTGAAATTCTACCACTTACAGGGCACCACTGGGGGCCGTATACTGCTATATTAAATGCTCTACACAGTTCTACCATAATGCTAGACTGCAACGCCTGCAATCTCTTTAAATAGCTACGGTGGATATTTCAGGACTTGTTATTTTAATATAATGAGGAGAAATGGTACCTGGTGAGGAAAAACTTAAGCCCAATTATTACCAGGAAAAAAATGTATTTAGAAAACTTTCCAATTTGAACCAATTATATTTAATACCTCAACCTCAGGATTAAATCCTCTGAATGACATTCTTCCGTAGAGAAGATCTTCACATAACAAGAAACTCTGTTCTTCTATTATGAAACTCCTAAACGGGAAAGTAAATGTATATTAATAACATGTCTACATGTAACAAAGCACAGCAAATCAAAGTCAAGACTTTGAATGAAAAGAGAAATCTTAAGGTTCTCAGTCGAATCAAGTAAAAACAGTAAAATTTATTTTCTTTTCTAAGAGCAAGATATTTGCTATAGGGTGTGTGCACTTGCCGGAGAGACAGAGAGATAGAAAGCAAGAAATCACCCCACAGGGGGCATGGCCACGCCGCAATCCCTTCTCCTCCATTTTCCTTTTGTAATTTTGGGCATACATGTGCACGTGCCTCGCATGAGTTTTAAGCTGCCAGGTCTGGGACTCAAACCATGGTCAACTATGTGAGAGTTCAGCAACGTAACCATCTGCTAGTCACAAATACAGTAAGATTTCTTTTTTCTTTAAATGATTATTTTTAATTTTAACTTTATTAATTATTGTTGTTATTATTTTCCAATTTGAATGGGGAGGGAAGTGAGAAAGGAAGCCACCAGGTCCAGGACTTGAACCATGGTTGGCTATGTGTGAATCCAGAGCCTTTAACCACACCACCTGCCGGCCCCACGAAAACAGTAAGATTTCTAATGTAGGTTGATAAGTAAATCTGATTAATTTGGTCAGCAAAGGTATTAGGAGAAAGGAGCAAGAGGCTGGAGGCACGGCTCCTTCTCAACACTCCATCTAACTTGCATCAACAACTACCTAATGTAAAGACCAGAAACATTTATAATAGACTTGAATTTCCAAAGTCAAAGCAGTTTCTCTGACATCATACCCTCAACTAAGCTCTTATTAAATATCCAGGAAAGGCAGTGGGAAATCAGAGGCCTGGGCAGCAGTGCTGGAGGCCACATGGCGACTGCCTGAAATATGTCAGACACATATTTGGTCCTGTGTCCAGGATCCTGGCAAGCTAAACCGGAAGAGGGGATTGCAGTGTGACCAAACCCTGTGGAGGGTGTTGCATGCGCTCTCTCTCGTGTGCACATGTGTATGCACTCCATCCTGAGTAAAGGAAGAAGGAAGCACTAGCTGTGTAAAAACAAGCTGCGGCTGGGAGGGCTAATACTGATAACCAGAGGGCACCGTGGTAGACACTACTGCCCTGCAAACTGGAAGCTACCATCTCTAAACAGGATTCCTCTCTGTGTCACCATTCCTGACCCCAAATCCAGGGTGAGCATCTGTCTACAGTGCAGCTGCAGACCCTACAATATGCCAGGAAAGGAAACCCCTGGTCTTGATGGCTTCTTTGGTGGACAGCAGGCCAGCTCTCCAGATCCACACATTCAGCAAAGACTCATGGAACCAAAGTGTGCAGGCACCATTCTAGAAGCTGGGGACAGGCAGGGCCAGACATACAAGAGCCTCTGCTCTCAAGGAGGTTATAGTCCAGAGGGCAGGTTAGGTCATAAATGAAACACTGATACTACACAAAGGGTGACAACAAAGCCAGGTGTGCCATTCCCACCCAGAAGAGAATGTCTGGTAGTGCACTAGTCTCCTGAGATCAGCATAACCAACTATAAAATGGGGCAACAGATGAGACCACGAATATGTCAGAATATAGGACTGCGATGTGCAAGAGAAGAAAACCAAACAAAGTGAGCCCCATGAACGCCCAGTTTCCTGTCTAGAAACATTTCCAAACAGCCCAATCTTGCTGAATTGAAAAGACAAACCGGCATTTAGGACTCCAGGAGTGGCTGAAGTATTTGGTCAGGACCCCAGAGGATGGAAGGTACATGGGCTTTCGGGACCTGCACACTGAATCCCCTTAACTCCTTGGCTGAACACTGGGCTGTGCATGTGCAGGGCGAGTCCAAGTACCAGGGGAAGAATGACCTCCAGAGAGGAGGTCTGCAGAACGATGACCTAGTGCGTTAGTTTCCCCTGGCTGCTGAAGTAAGTTACCACAAAATTGGTGGCTTGAAGCAAGAGATGTTTATGCTCCCACAGTATTGGAGGCCAGAGGTACAAAGCTGAGGCACTAGCAAGACTGTGATCCCTCCAGAGGCTGTAGGAGAGAGTCCGCCCCTTGCTGCTCCAGTTGCTGGTGGCAGCCAGTGCTCCTTGGCTTGTAATGACATCACTCCAATCTGCTTCAGCGGTCACACCTTTTCTGTATGTCAGTCTCCCTCGGCCACCCTCTTATGGGACTGTGACTGCAGTTGGGGCTTACCAGATAACCCAAAATAAAGATTATCCACAATCTTTAGAAGATCCTTAATTGAATCACCATGGTAAAGTCAAGGGAACGCTAACAGGTTCCAGAGATGAGGACAAGAATATCGTTCGGGCACCATTTTCCAGCCTACTGTAACTGGGAAGGGAAATTGCCCCTACAAATGTATGCTGAAAAAAATGCCAGAGCTTGCACAGAGCAGGGAAGTATCAGAGCTCTGTCTGGACAGAGAGGGCAGGCCGAACTGAGTATCCTGTGATGACTGAGCACAAAGGCCAGACCTCAGGAGTACGGTTAGTTTAGGGCTACAGTGCAAGCTACATAACCTCCAACACAAACAAGAATAAGCTGAGCAGCATGTAAATGAACTGTCCAATGGAACAAAGTTCAACGTTCTTTTTTTTTTTGAGAGATTTTTTGCTATAGAGTGCATGCAGTTACCAGAAAGACAGCGAGAGACAGAGACAGAAGTGAGAAATCACCGCCCCCTCCGGGGGGATGGCCACATCACAATTCTTTTCCTCTACTCTCCTCTCAGGATTTTGGGCACACACACACACATGTGCCTGGGGTGTTTTAAGCCATTGAGTCCAGGACTTGAACTGCAGGGAGTCCAGTGATATAACTATTATGTCATCTGCTGGTCCCCAAAATTCAACATTCTATTAAGGAAGACAACAAAATCCAGGCGGCTAGCAATGAAAGACACATAATGTGTAGAATACAGTAAAAACTACTACCCATGCAAAGAAACAGGAACATGCCACCCTGATAAGCAGAAGAAAAGCACCTCAATGGAGATGATGAACTTAATAAAGAGACTTTATGTATTTATTTTTGGTTTCACTTGCCTGAAGGCACATGCACTCACTAGAGACAGACAGAGAAGGAGAAAGCATCCCCCAAAAGGGGTGTAGTCGCACTGAAATTCCTTCTCCATGTGTCCATCCTGTCAAGATTTTGGGCGAGCATGCAAGTGCACACACTGTTTCTAACGTGGTCAATCTAGGACCTGAACTGCGGTCAGCTGGGTGGGATCTAACTCCTTAACCTGTCAGGCTACAGGGCTGGCCCCAAAGAAAAGGCCTTTAAAACAAAGACTTATAAAGGATTCAAATAAAATCAAGAACTTAAGTGAAAATATGAATATGATGAAGAAATAGGGAACCTAAATTAAGAAATGGAAAGTGTGAAAAATACCCAGAGACATTCTAGAACTTTAAAAAAATAAAAAAAAGGGGGACTGGCAGGTGGCATGGTGGTTAAAGCACTGGACACTCCCACATGGCCGACCATGGTTCAAGTCCTGGACCTGGTGGCTTGCTTTCGCACCTTCCTTCCTCTCTCTCTCTCTCTCTGGTCAAATTAAAATGAATGAATGAATGAATAAAATTGAATAAAATAATTCTTAAAAAAAAACTGATGTGAAAAGTTGGAATAATACTATGAAATAAACTAAATTCATTACTAAATATCTTTCCAGAGAAAACTTTAGATCCAGATGGTCTCACTGGTAAAATCTATCACACACCTAAGAAAGAAATAATATTAATTTTACAGAAATTGAGAAACAAGTGGGAATACTGCCCTTTTCATTAGATGGTCAAAAACAAAGAACACACACACACACACACACACACACACACACCCACCCACACACACCTGTGTATGTGACCACCCACCCACCCACCAGTGGATTGAAGGACATATAGAGGGGTAGACAGATAGGAGCTATATTGTAAAACACTAGAAAAAAGACAAAACCGTGACTGTTAAAAGGGGCAAAATATTTGAAAAGGCACTTCACAACGGTAGATGTGCAAATGGTATAAAAACACATGAGTTCTTTAATATTATTAGTTGTTAAGAAAATGAAAATTAAAAACCACGAGGACCAGCCCCACAGCTTACTGGTTATGGCATCTGGATCCCACATAGTCAACTGTGGCTTCAATCCGGTCTTCATGGCTTGAAAAACAGGCCAGGCACGTGTATGAACTTGCCACCTACCCCAACAGAATGGAGAATGGAAGAGAAGGGCCTGCAGAGTGACCAGGCCCCATCGAGGGATGCTCACTCCTCTTTCTCTGACTCTGGCAAGTGCACGTGCCGTTTGTCAACTACAAAGGTTAAACATTAAAACCACAGTGAGATGTCACTAGAATAGGTAATATTAAGATATCTAACATCAAATGGTGGAAGGAGAAAACAGCCCAAACTCTTACATTTTCTTTGTGAAATTGTAAAATATTATGACACTTTAGAACTGCTTTCCAAGTTTCCCTCATAAAGTAAAATAGATGCCAGCCTTATGATGAACAATTCCACATTTACCCAAGACAAATAAAAACATACATCCAAAAAATAAACCCAAAACTTAAAACAGATTCATAGCAGCTTTGCTCATAGTGGTCAAAAACTAGAAAGAACCCACAGGCCATTAATAGGAGAATGAATAAATACACTGTTAGGTCAAAAGGATGAACTTGAAAACATTTTGCTGACACAAAAGAGCACATTGCATATTGCATGGTTGCTTTTATAAGGAGTGCAAGAACAGACAAACATAATCTATGGTGAGAAATTAGAACAGTGCTTGCCCCAGGGCGGAAGTGAGCCGACTAGGAACAGGATGAAGATCTTTATCTGGTGATGGAAATGTTCCTATCTTGATAGGGGTGTGGTTTACAAAGGTGTATGTGCTGTGGAAAAACAAACAGCTGTGTTCTTCAGGCAAGTGCATTCCACTGAGTGAAAATATCCCCTCTACACACGTGCACACACAGGGCAGTTTAAGGGGAGACTAGAGA